TGGAAAACAAATTAGTTTAATATTAAAAAACAAGGGCACTGACTTTCTATATTATATATAAAATATTGGAACTACGATGAGTATATTTTATTTTTTCCATATATTTAAATAATATAAATGTTTAATATCAAATTTTTGTGAATATGAAATATATTAATTGAAAAGTTATGTAGAATCGTTTAAAAGCCTACCCCAATAACATTTTCATTCCAATATGTATACTCGAAATATGCCATAAATCCCAGGCTACTTGGTCATATATTTCTGCAATATTCAAGGACATTTCACTTTCATGTACATACTAGAATATAACATAAAAATATTTGTAGGGAACTAATTTATGGTAATGTGTTTTCCTTTTTGGACGGACATTTATTTTTAACCAAAAAAGAAAAAAAACAACAAATTTATTTTATTATATTTTAAATATTTTTTAATATAAAATTTAATTGGCTGATTTGGTTCTTTGGGTTCTGTTATATACCAACACAACCACACTAATATATGTCTCGCCTCTATCTATAAATATAGCACTATGTAATAACTGTTTGTAACAAAGTAACCCAAAAAAACTGTGTTAACAGAATAAAGTTAATGAAATTCCGTGTATGTACACGAACAAAGAGAAAGTGAATAAAGTGAAAGCAGACAGAGTGCGAACGAATACAGAAATGTCAGGAAGACAGTGTAACGGTTAAAAATAAATGTAAGTATAACAATAAAGCTAGTGTCCTTGAAATTGAGTTCTACATAATCACATTCTTGCTGAAATTGTTATACAATTTATAACACAATTAAAGCAGGCAAACGAATATACCATACATGTATATTGTCATATACATTACTACTAATTTGTATTTAATTCTTATTACTAATTCATACTCACCTTCCTCCCTGTCTCGTTCAATTTTAGGATGGATTTTCTTATGATCGGTCGAATTAAGAAAATTCAAGTCAGTCTGCGGCTGTGAATACGGTATTGATATATTTTGCCCGTACTGCATTGTGTTGTTGGCAGCCGAAACTACAATTAAAATGTGTAAAACATTATAAAAGGATTTTAGCATAAAAAATATAATATAAATAATATATAATTACACATTTTAAAATGTTATTGAAAGTTATAATTTTCTATATTAAAATATTGAAAAAAAGTTTAAAGCCAATTGTAGAATTGCAATGCTCAACCGCTACCACACACCAACTGATTTCATTTTAGGAAAGCGGCCATCGCTTAAGGTTCGAATTTTCCCAGCTGTCTATAAATTTTTTTCCAAACGAGTTTTGCCGAACTAAGAACGAACTGCGTACGTTTGGGAGGAAATATACATAAAGGGAGCAGATAGTAAGAGGTGCCACCTATCGTGTCTGTTGAAGAACAAAAACAGCAAACAGCAAACAGGATTACATGAACACAACACCAGGAACACATGTGCGGTGCGTATAGCCATTTTGCAGTCGGCAATTTTGTTACTGTAATTTTTACTGCTGATATATTTATGGGTCTGCAACGGTTTCCAAGGCCATCCGTTGATGAACAATTTTGTGTGTACATTTAAGGTTCCGCACAAGTAAAGCACCTAGCTACCACATACTAGTGGAAACGAAAATCAGAGGACAAAGAAAATGAAAATGCCGGCCGGTCGAGTTAGCTGGTTTATGTATTTGTATATTTGATTATGTATATAACGGAAGTGTTTAATCAGCTGAGAGGATACGTGCGTGGGTGTTAAAGAAAAATTATATGGAATAATTATTCACCTTCGTTGCAAAGAAAAAAATAACTTCAGACAATTTTCAATATTTATTTTTTTAATTATTAATTATTTCTAAGTAATTAATGAAGACTATAAAAAAATAATGATTTAAAGAGAGTAATGAAAGTTTTATAAAATTAAAACATTTTTTTAGTTCCTTAAAAAAGATAAAAAAATATTAGAATGGTCAGTCATTAGTCATAAAAAAGTTTGAAGTTGATATACAATATTAAATTTAACTCAATAAGATAATATGCTATTAAGTTTAAAAAGTACTTAAAAGTATCTAAAAAGTACTACAACTTGAAAATAGATATTATAGATATTTAGATATTTTATAAGTGAGAAGAAACTACAACAGATTACATGATTTTATTTAAGTTGTAGTGTTTAATTAATTAAACTATGTGGTTAATGTTTCAACTGCAAATGTTTATTATTTAAATTTATAATATGTTATAAATTTAAATGTAGATTGTACAAGTAAACCAAAAATCCAGATCACTACGCAGAAGGTGGTCCATAATTGTGGGTATCTAATTCTTAAACGAACAAATAATTAAAAAAAAAATAATAAAATACCTATTTTTTTAAAACCAATTAAGTCTCACAATAAAAGGAAATAATGTATAACTAACATTAAAATACTAAAGAATTAGAATCTTTAACTCACTATTAATATTTGATAGAATTGTGCAGAAAACACGATTTAAAAATTTCTAAAAAAGAAAATCATGTAAAAATTATAACAATAATAATATTAACATACGAGTATCAATGTTGAAGTATTTTCTAGAAAGTCTAGAAAGCATCGTAAGTTAGCTGGTTGAATTAGATTTTAATTGATACTTTTTCCTGTCCTTAGCCTACTTCAATCGGTCAGCAAAGGGCATATATTTTTAAATAAAAAATGAAAATTTTAAATTTATTTTATTTCTAAATATTCTTCATATTACATTATCTAACTTAGTACATTAGATCTCTGGAATGGCGATATACCAGTATCTATTCTGGTACAGCCATCCAAACGTCAAGTATAATAGTTGCACTTATTGCAAAATTTTAATATATTGCATACTTTTCTTATTGCATTTCTTATTGAATATAAACATTAAATATTTAATCATTGCGAAGGAGACAACAAATTCATGTAATAAAGAGTCCTTAGTTTAAATAAAAATTATTTTTTATTAATGCAAAATGAAATTTTTTAGAAATAGAGTTATGAAAATTTGATAACATTTATTTATACTTTTTGTTCAGCAAAATATAGAATTTTATAAGAAATGATTTCCTTTATTTCAAGCTCAGTCAAATACACAACATTTGCTGTGCAGGCAGGCAGTCGTTGAACGATTTGATGGCACATACGTTTTTTTCTTATATAGAAAGCAAATCGCATTTCACTTTTCACTTTACTTTCACACATAAACAGCGAATGATGAGTTTAGTTGACTACTCTCCCGATGAGAAAGTAGAGTAAGCCGAGAAGAAACGAGTACAAATTGAGAAGAAATGGTAAGAGTAATTTCTGACTGCTGACTACTGACTACTGACTGCTTATTGCTTACTGCTTACTGGTATGAACAATTCCAACCCCATTTCAACGTAAAACAAAATTAAAAAAGGAAATAGAGAACATTATAAGTTAAGTGAGAGTGGAAAGTGGAAAGTGAGTGTATGAGTTGGAAAATAGGAAATGAAACCGGTATGCTTGGTATGGTATAAAACTTTAAATGTGTTTGTAGAACTTCAAATACGAATACTAAAGCTAAAGCTAAACTTACATAAAATTAGAGAAAGAGCGAAAGCAAATAGAGCAACGATTTGGTGGGGTTGGTATGCATACCAATTTACCATTCACTATTCTGGACTGAGGTAGCCCCCAATATTGGGGATGTTTCGTATATAATGCTTTTAGCCACAACAGTCTGAGTATGATATGGGTTTAAGTAAAACATTCAAGGTTTGAGTCACAATGGTCATATATTCATAAAGTACATAATATTAAAGTAGTTTTTTTTTAAACGTTAATTTTCAAAAAAAAAAATATTAAGAATATATTTATTCTATATTAAATATATTTAATTATAAAGAGCATAATTAAAACTTAACTTGTGCTATATTTTCAACAGAACTTAGTGCCGAAAACAAGAAATATAAGCATATACATATTTGAGCCAATGCATATATGCCTATGTATGTATAAAGCGTTTATGGTATAAGGAGGGTGATTTTAGCAGCAATCAAGCTCCATTTAAGTTTCCTTAGCTTAGAATTGCCATGCTTGTTGTTGCTATGTTGTTAAATGTTCGGAAGGGAGTACATTTAACATACATGTAAATAAATATGTACAATGCTTATGTACAATACTTGAATAATGTACATGGATTCTTCATCATTATTGTCATCATAATTGTATTAATATATTGTATATACACTAATAATTATATCACAATTAACACAAACTACTAGTTTCCTTTTCCATATAAAACAGAAATACTATAAGACAAAAATTATAAATTTACCAAGATGGTCAACAAATTCCATGACTTCAAAATTAGTACAGTATTATTTAAGAAGATCTTAAATAATATTGTACTTCATAAATAATACGGTAACGTTCGCACTTTATGATGACAAACATAACTTGATTCACTTCGACATGATTCATTTTCAAATTTTGGTTCCACAAGAAATGTAAGAAATGTACAAATTCAAAACTACAAAATTACAAACAACAAACATACGATATATTTTTACTTCTATTAAAAAGTATCACTACGTGTTCCACTAATATGCATTGTCTCCTGCTAAGACTTAAATATAGTTGATTTAATACACTTAGAGTTCTTAGAGTTTTTTCCCTCCAGTTAGCTTTAAACTTTGTTAAACGGAGCGGTTAACCGTACATCTAAATTTTAACTGCAAAAACAGTGGAGAGGTTAAATAGTCAAGAAAATATTTTTGCATAAAATAAAATTGATATAAATTATGAAATTATATATAATGTAATATAAAAATTAAACAAAAATGAATTTATTATTAACAAAAATAAATAAAAATAAAATTTTAAATTAAAATTTCAATATAATTTTTTATATATATTTTAAATTACTTTAACATTAAATATCTTTGAATCTAACTAATAAAAGCAAAATTGTAAAAATTGCTCTTTGTTTTGTTTTCTAACTGAACTGCTACAGTAATAGAACTGAAAAAGTAATAAATGGACGGTAGTAGGCTTTGATTGGACTATTCAATATGTGTGTTAAATGTATTAAATACTCATTGATTAAACTTTACCGAAGTTAAAAAGGACGGATCTTAATGTTGCGATTGTTAATTAAACTTGAGAGATGTTAATGTCAATATGTACAAATATTCATAATCATACAATATACAAAAATAAAGTTATTTAACTTAAAAAAATACAATTTTATTAATATTCATTTAATTCATGAACTACTTTACAGAAAATTTTTAGAATGTTATAAAAAGTATCACCGAAAACTTTTCATACATACCTTTATTTTTTTTCCAAAAAACATGATAACAATTAACTTAAGCAAATTAACTTTTAAAACTTAAAAATAATTAAAATTTCTATTATAAATTTGTTAATAAGATTATATCCAGGTTCATCGATTTTATTTTGTAGAAATCTGTAACGAACGTTTTGGCTATTGCCTAGTCATGAGACTTATCGGTGGTTGGTGTTGCTGATGTAACCGCAGCTTAACTGAACTTTAAATGATGTGTCTTCTAATACAGCCCATCTCATCAGCTCATCTCAAACTTTTATATTGGTTTATAAGAATTCCCTATCGTGCTTTGAATCTTATTTTAGCAGTTATTTGGGGTTTTATCTATTTTATGATTATATTCGGTAATATTGTCATATTTTCTGAGCTAAACCGCCTACTTTAAAATTCAACTCCCTAAATTTACCAAACCCTTTTATTTAAATGTGGGAAAAAATGTATAACATTTTCTATATTAGATGCACTAATGTAAATTAGAGATAAAATAATGATTTGATGTAATAACATATATTATATATAGCATTGAGCAGTGAAGTTAATAGGTAAGCCCATAGTATATATATATTTATATATAATTTTTTGATAGAGTAATGTAGCACCATAATAAAAGATTTCCATTTATTTTTCTACCATATTTATAACATTATAGATTTACTCCGCTGCTTGTCTTTTGTATTGTAGTTTCAATTTCAATTTGTAGTAACTTCATATTTACCATATACTAGAAAAACATTGTATGACTATTCGTTAATGTATATGTATATTTTTTTATTTCATTAAGACAGCTCTAGTGGAACTTCTTCTGCTTCGTTGGAGATGGTATTATAATGGTATGTCGAAATCATTTATAAAAAATTAAGCAATGTATAGCCTTTCCATCAAAATTCTCTATTTCCACTTTCCAATTTCTTTATTAATATCATATCCATTCGGTATCTTCTGAGAATTATTTCAGTAAGTATTATTTCTTCGGTTATTTCTGAGTATGTTATGAAATCATCTTTTTACAAATTTACGTAGAATTTGTTCTATTTGTTCTGTTTAGAAAAATATTTCACAAACACATAATGGAACGGACAATACGCATGATTTTAAAATGAGCATCATAAATTTGATCCTACGACAATTTAATGCACAAATTTTATACAACTACAGAAATGAAGATATAGCTTTTTTAGTTAAGACCTGTATATACATTTTGAACTACAATATTATGCTAAAATACATCCCTAAATATTGAAACTTCTCAGTTTGATAAGGAAGTCTTTTTTTGTATTCATTTATATTATATTTCGGAAACCTGGAATCATGGACGATTAATTTTAAATATTATTTAACTTATCTTGCACGTATTTACGCTTTTACGATAGTTTTAATTTATCATTTATGTGGTAGACCAATTCAAGTCTGCTTTAAGAGATCAGTAAGTTCAACTGTAAAAAAGATTAAAGCCGAAAGTTGAGCTCTGTCTCACTCTAAAGGTAGTAACAAAATAATCTGACGAGAATTGTCAGATGCAGTGAACAACTTCTGAAACTATCATATGTACGTCCGTCGAATACGTGATATTTGTTTCTGACATTGCAATAGTTTTGAACTCAGTCTGCATGCATTCTCTGTCTAATAGGTCAAACGCCTTTTCATACAAATAATAATTATAACATCAGTTATTATCACCGAAGTATTCGATAATTATTCAAAGTTGGTTTCTTAAATCTATACCAGATCTGTTTACAATATGTTATTTTATTCCCACGGTAATTGTTGCAGCTTCTTATATCACTTTCATACACAGTTTAACAATGTTTCCTAGTTTTTAAACAATATACATTTATATATATATTGTATTTATTATTCTCGAATCTAACTAAAACTGGTGAAAAAACTGGTTATAATAATAGTGGGCCTATTATGTATAGTACATGTGCAGAAAAAAAACACTTTTTGTTGATCTAAATATAAAATATGGTTACCGAAAGCGTCGCAACAGCTATCTTTATGGATGCCAATAAATGTTTCATAACTAGAGAAAAGTAAAGACTTTCATAAAGCATCAACTGCTTTTTAAAACTGTTATTATGAAACACACGATTCATATATGCGAAATCTACAATTTTTAATTCGTTGTAAACAAAATAATTTTTCGTGTGTTCCTTTTACTTTTAGAAACAGATTGTAAGTTTTTATTTTTGATAAAAAAGAGTAAGTAAGTAAAACTACTTACTCTTTGTCATCAATCAATCTGCATATCGAGATTCCGGATAAATGTAATGGTCAAAGTTCTTCTGCAATGAAAAACTAATTTTAAATTTACAACAGTTGTAATAGTATTGTTATAAATTGGTTTCAAATGATTGAATTTGATAATATTATTAATAATATTACTGAAGAATGTTGGATACCTATTAGAGGCGAGCCGAGAAAAACTGACAGTACGTAATTATATTAATATCAAATAGTAAACTGAGTACAGAATTAAAAATTTGATAATCCAATAAACCTATATCACTATTCGATCTATCAAATTAAATATAAAATAAAAAACAAGCTGTTTTCTCAATAACTGAGATTTTCTATAATTTCCTGGTTTACTCTGCAGTGGACATAGTATAGTATAAATTGACTATAGATTACATCCTTCCCATTATCAATCTTTTATTATTATTCTTTTATATATATATATATATATATATATATATATATATATATATATATATATATATATATATATATATATTACAAAAAAAACCAATTCTGAAATTTATAATATCGAAATCGAAAAGACATAATCTAGAAAAGAGATGTAGATTCTTCTAATCAGATTTAGTATGAAAAAAATCTGATATTCTTATTTAAGTTTTAAAATACTGACCTTAACCCTTACGAGATGATCAAAAGTATAAGTCATTGAATATATAAACAAAAAATTGTTTTAATCGTGATAATAAGAAGTAATTTTTTTACTATTTATTAAAATGTACTTTGTGTAAAAGCAATCTAAATTGTAATATTGATCAAATTTTTTTTAATTTGCCTTCCATGTTTAAAAATCCTTTTACGTTTATCATTTAAGTATATTATTTATTTAAGGATCATTGAACTTAAAAAGCTTTTTGTTTTTTTTCGATGTCATGGCAATAAAGCATATAAATATAAATATCATGTAATAAAAAATTAATAGGGATTAATATTGCATTATTATAATATGAAAAGAATTCATTTAGATTTAGTTCACATATTTAATGATAAATTAGATGCAGAATTAAAAATAAATTGAATTTTCCAAGCACAAAATTGAAAAAGAATCAAGTCTGATGAGTAAACCAAGTTAGTTTCAGTAATTGTTTGACTACAAGAGGGCATATTAGGTATTCTATAGGAAATCATTAAAAAGCTACAATACCGTTTATTAAAAACGTGAATCCCACCCTCAGAAAACAAGCAAAATAAAATGCAAAAATTTTTAAAAGCTATTAGAGTTCATTGCACATTATAAAGTGAGCCAAAGCAATGTAAATTTAAAACAAAAACAAAAACAAAAACAATACGAAATGGAGTAAAATACAGGAAAATGTTTTGGGGGTGGGTGGTCGTGAGTCAAACCTTTTCATCTAGACATAACTGATATAACGAAACAAACCAAGTACCAAGTACAATTTACGCGCACATACGTATGACATGTGTGTATTTATATTGAGTATAAGTATACACACTTTTCATTTACATACATACCATACATATGTATATAAGAAGTTCAGAAATTCTTATTAAACTCGAAAATAATCGATAAGAATACCAACTTACCGTTTGGTACATTTTGATTAAAATGATTTCCATTTGTTTGATACCGTTGCACATGATTATCAGTAGACGTATTACCATTTATACCTGGTGTTGAGAAAGCACCTGGTGTTTGAGTGTCGTGTCCAAACTTAGCGGCAAACTGGTGTATACCAGAAAACGGACCTCCAAATGCTGAGAAATTCATCATCACACTTAATGTTTTCTTAATTCCACAATTTTATTAAATAATTTCAAAATTTCAAAATTTTAAAATAATTCAATTGATTGGCTATAACTAAAACAATCAAACAGTTATATTAATTTATAATATAATAATAATAATTTTCTTATTAACACAAATAACAGCAAAATAAATTCGCAAATTTGCAACAACTTTCGTTTTCCGCGTATGCAATCAATGTTGCATGAAAGGATTTTCTATAGCGGTGATTTAATCACGGTACACACACCACTAGTCTTTCACTATTATTTGCTGATAGAGACACATACATATAAATAATATGGCGGCGCTGATAGTTAATGAATACACTCTAAAGTTGGGTACCCATTGGGGGAGAAATTTATTTAAAGATAAACAATTTTTGTGCTTACTATTGCTGTATTGAACTTTCAGTTTCAGTGCATATATGTACGAAAAATTTTAATAGGAACAAACTAAACTAAACCGGCACGACGAGCGCCCGACACCGAACTAACCGAACTAAAACCGAATATATACATCAAAAGCCGCTGACGTTACCACGAACCTTCAAATCAATACATTCACACACAACACACAACACACATCTCACAACTTTGTCCGATTATTGGGGGTGGTAGTAACTTTTTCGGTAGTCTTTGCGAGTGTGCTTTTTCATTTCAATGCGAGGGTTGGAAGTTTCTGTGTTCTTTAATATTTAAAAGGGAAATGTTTCACTTTTTATTTTATCAGCTTTTAACATGAGCACAAAAATTTATTAATAGTTCATATACACTCTTCCGTCTAAGATTTTGTTATATCCTGAATTTGTAATATAGGTATGTTGGCTACTGTAAAAGCTATTGTATGGTTGCCATGCGTTAATAAGGTGATGTTAGGCATAACTTTGTTTATGTAACAAATTAATAAAATAAAATAATTATAAAGTAAAAACTCTGAATGTCAATTTAATTAATTTTAATAAAAATAAAGGATTTATGCTTTAATTACAAATACAAATGTTAGTTATTATGGGTTTTCAAAGAATATTGATTTCTTTTAAAAATGATTCATATTTTTTCTAAAGTACTTTAATCAGACCTAAGTCAATCAAATTCATTTATGTAATACATAATAAAAATTTTATTTTTTTACAAGTTTCGTATAAATCAAGCTAGAATGTAATTATTAATACCTACAACCTTATCAAGATTGAAATGAAAAATATGAAAAATTTAAATGATAACATGAATACAATAAATAATCTTCTCTATAAATTTTTCCAATAAGTTAATCCAAGTTTATAATTTTAATATATGTGAAACCAAGTTTAATAAAAATGACAAGTCATTAGTTAAAATAATGTGTAATTATATTACAAAAATAAATAAATATAAAAACGTACATAGTATTATATATTTTTAGCAAAAGTGAAACACACGGTCCGATGTATTTTTAACATGTTCTTTACTTCGCTTTATTAACTATACTAAAAATGAATAATGAATAATAATTACAAAAAGAATATAGAATAATGACAGGCCAGAGTTGCCAGGCAATTAATATTTAAAAAGTACTTTACATAACAACACCCCCTCTTAAAGTGCTTTTATTATGTATAAAATATGACTTTAATATTTCATTCCTAATTTCCGTAAGCAATTAACATGCTTTTCTGTAGTGAGTCCTTTGGTAAGAACGTCTGCGGGCATTTCTTCTGTTGGCATATATTTGATTTTAACAGTGCCGTCGTTAACCTTGCTGCGAATAAAGTGATAACGAATATCAATGTGCTTTGTCCGTGGATGATACCTGAAGCTTTCCGTTAATTTTTGAGCGCTTTGATTATCATTAAAGATTTCAATTGTCTTACTTGTAATGCCAACATCATCAAGTATTGCCTTTAGATATAACGCTTCTTTTGTGGCCTCAGATATGGCCATATACTCTGATTCAGTGCTTGAAAGCGCTACTGTACGTTGCTTTCGAGCTTCCCAACATATCGCTGCTCCTGATATAATGAACGCATACCCTGAATATGAACGTCTATCGTTTAAGTCAGCGCCCCAATCAGCGTCAACCAGACCATACAATTCTTCATTGTTTTTCTCATACAATAGACCATAGTTGCTTGTACCTTTAAGGTATCTTAGAATTCGTTTTGCTGCTTTCCAATGTTCCACGTTATAATTTGAATTGAACTGGCTAAGAAAGTTTACAGCAAACGCAATATCAGGTCGAGTTGTAACAGCTAAGTACATTAATGCTCCTATCAAGCTTTGATAGGGATACATCTTCATAACACCTTCATCAATTTTTGTTGGTTTCGTTAACTTAATGTTCAATTCTATGGGAGTCTTCACTGGTTTACAGTCTTTCATATTGAACTTTTCAATGATGCTTTTTGCATACTTCTCTTGTGAAAGAAAAACTTGATGATCGCTTAAATTTTGATGAAACTCGATGCCAAGACAATTACTTACTATTCCCAAATCCTTCATTTCGAAATCATTCGCAAGTGCAGCCTTTATTTCTTTTATACGAAACTTATTATTGGACGCTATTAGTAAATCATCTACATATATTGTCATCAAAACAATGTCGTTACCTTCACGCTTAGTGAATACACAAGGATCCTGTTGTACTGCACTTAGACCCATATTCTGTAGTTTCTTTGTCAATTTCATGTACCATGATAGCCCAGACTGACGAAGTCCATAAAGAGCTTTCTTTAATAAACATACAGGTGACTTACTTGATTTAATCGCCTTTAACCAATGCTGCGCTGTTTCTTTAACTTTTCCACACAATATTGTTGAAGTTTTTCCCACTGGTTTTGATGAAACAACTTTGTTCAGGAATGGTATAAGATAATCGGGAATTTCCATGAAGACACTCTCTTCGAGCTCTCCATTTAGGTATGCTGTAATGACATCCATCTGATGGATCTCCAAATCCATTTTTGCTGCCAGTGCCGCAAGTAGTCTTATAGATGTTGAACGAGCGACTGGAGAAAACGTATCATGAAAGTCTTCACCTGGTCGTTGTGCAAAACCCTTCGCTACTAATCGTACTTTCTGTTTTTCGTCATCTTTAGTTCGAAGCACGAATCTATTCCCAATAACTTTTCGTGATTTCGGTCTTTCGACCACTTCCCATGTTTTATTCTTTAGTTGTGCCACCATTTCGTCTTCTAGCGCTTTTGACCAGGAATTTGTTTCATCGCTTTCAAGTGCCTCCAAAATCGTTACTGGAGTTTGATATGTAGTGAGAAACGCCATTTCACAATCTTCAAAAACGTTGTTGTCAGGTTCATCATCTGAATAGTTTTTATCAGCAATTTTTCTTACTGAACTTGTATTTTCGTCTTCGTTGGATGATTCTTCACCATTCCGATTTGACGTGTAATATTCTTTTCGAGGCCTACCGCGTGAATTTGTGCGAATAAGTCTCGGACGACCTCTTCTACGAATGGAGTTTTCTTCTCGCGTATCAGTATTTTCTACAATTTTCGGATTAACCGACGGTTTCTGATTTTCAGAATTTTCGAACGCAATATCGATATAATCATTTGTTTGGCAGTCATTTTCATTGTTAATATAAATGTTTTCGTATTTATTATGATAGATATTTTTGTTTACGAACACGACATCACGGCTTATTGTTATATTTCGTTTTGTAGGTGACCACAGCCGATAGGCTTTCGCTTCGTTTGAATATCCAACAAACATGTAAGGTTCTGACTTAGAATCGAATTTATCTCTAGTCTTATCCTTTTTTAGGACATATGCTTTAGAGCCAAATACTTGAAAATGTACAATAGTTGGCATTTTACCAGTCCACAACTTGTGCGGTACTACACCGTTCAATGCTTTTGTAGGACACCTATTCCGAATATAGCACGCTGTATTTATGGCCTCTGCCCAAAAATTTGGCGGAACTTCAGCTTGTTTCATCATGCAACGGGCCATTTCAACTAGAATTCTGTTTTTACGTTCAGCAATACCATTTTGCTCCGGCGTATATGGAGCAGTTAAGCGTCTTTGTATACCAAATTTCCTCAAGAATAAATTAAATTCAGAATTAACGTATTCTCTACCATTGTCTGATTGTAAAGCCTTAATTCGTTTACCCGTAAATGTTTCTACTGCTCTTTTGTATTGCTTAAATACATTTAATACATCGGATTTTTGTTTTATAAAATATACTTGACAATAGCGTGATTTGTCATCAATAAATGTTACGAAATATTTTGCATCCGAATTTGATGCTGTTCTCATTGGTCCGCACACATCACTATGCACGATCTCTAATAAGTCACTTGTTCTAGTTTCTTTACTCTTAGGAAATGGTTTTTGTATTTGTTTTTCACTAATACAAATTTCGCAAGTCGGAAGTTTTTGTTTAGGATTTAATTTTAATCCGTGTACTAGGTTATTACTAACCAATTTTTTAAGATCGTTTTCATTTATGTGGCCCATTTTCTGGTGCCACTTTTCAATGTCACATTTTTCTTCAGCAACTTGTGCAAAATGATTTTTATTTTCAACAATAAAAAGATTTCCACATCTTTTCGCTCGAGTTATAACCTTCTGATATTTGTCCAATACGATTGCATCTGAAGGGCGAAAATGCACTTCATATCCGCTGTCCACTATTTTTGATACAGAAAGTAGACTTGTACGCAAGTCCTCGACATATAGAACTTCTTTAAGATCAATGTTATTATCACGACCGTATACGTCTACAGTTATTTTCATTTTACCGACGCCGTTTATATTTGTTGTGTTGTCGTTTGCTAAGTTAAGCACTTTATTCGATTTTTGAAAGTCTGTAAAATATTCACGGTTTGCACTTAAATGGGCAGTACATCCACTATCTAGGCACCAATAATTTTCTTTTATTGAGCTAATAAATGCATCTTCAGCATGATAGCTAAAATTATTGTTTACAGATTTTTCCGAATTTTTCAATTGCGTGTTATTTTCAGCTTTTGCTTTATTTTTACATTCACGTGCAAAATGTCCGATTTTGCCACAATTAAAACATTGTTTGTTTCGTTTAGAATCACTGTATCGTTTGTTTTGTTTTGCGTTTCGGCTTTTATTTCGATTTATGTATAGAGAGTTTTCATCACTATGTCTGTCTTCTTTTGTCCTTTGCGATTCAGCTTCTTCTAATATTTTCACTCGAAGTATGTCTGGCTTTGGCAGCTCGTCGCGCGTTTCTAACGCGCACCTGAAAGTATTAAAAGAGTCGGGTAGGCTATATAGGAGCAGTATGGCCAGAAGCTCATCCCCGATGGTGACGTCAATTTCCTTTAATTTTGCCACGGCTTCAAAAAAATCGTTGAGGTGCTCTCTAACCTTTTCACCCTCCTTCATGCGCGAAAGTGCAACCTTTTTCAGCAACGTCGCCTTGCGCGCAGGCCCTTTTGATGAATATGTGGCTTGTAGTTTCATCCACATTTCGTTTGAATTTGTGCATTCTGCAATTAATCTTAATTCTGATGCACTTACTGATAACATTATATCAGCACACGCTTTCTGATCAAAGCTGATCCATTTTGCAGCCGCTTCGCCCGTTGGACACGACGCAGTACCTTCGACATATGACCATAAATCGTTTTTTATGAGAATAGCTTTCATTTGTAATTTCCATGTATCGTAGTTTTCCGCGTTAAGCGGTTCAACTCGAATCACCGTTCCCGACATTTTTATACACGTATTAAATCTACTTTTTATGTGCACGTGCTTTTTACTTCGCAGTGGAAGCGTGCTGGGCCCATAACCTATTATATATTTTTAGCAAAAGTGAAACACACGGTCCGATGTATTTTTAACATGTTCTTTACTTCGCTTTATTAACTATACTAAAAATGAATAATGAATAATAATTACAAAAAGAATATAGAATAATGACAGGCCAGAGTTGCCAGGCAATTAATATTTAAAAAGTACTTTACATAACAACACATAGAAATGTTTATAAATTGAAAAGTAATGGCAATCCTCTGTTCTAGAAAGAGCTTGAAATATTTTGAAAAGATAATAATTTGAATTTATTTTCAATTTAATATACTCCTCCTTAATTTATTAATTATTATAATTATTATTGTTTTTAACTTCATTTATAATTTTTTGACATTATCGTCGTATTACTTTTGTTGACACATAAAAACATTCTAATATTTTTTTGAACAAAGCTACGGTTGGAGTAGCCGCGCCATCGCACGTGAAAAAAAAACATTTAAAAACAATTCACTTATAAAATGCTACTACACAATTTCAATATATAAATACTTTACTTAATTTGAAAAACAACTAATAGTTTATATATTTAAATACAATACCATCATTTATTGAGTATTATTAATACAAACAACATAAAACAACAAATCTTTTGAAAAAATGTTCATTTGTCGAACACAACTTGTCTAACTAGTAATTAAATACAACAAATACTTATTACTATTAACCTTACTCATTAACCATTATAAAAAGAAAACCATATAAAAAATTTAATAAGCTCTCGCTAAAAAATTCTGCAGGTTAAGGTACTACAATTGACAAGTAGTGGCACTAATTACATATAGCGATTAATAATTAATTATTGCTAACTATCAATCATTTACTAATTTAAGATCATTTTCATAATATTACCCCACTTATTGACCACCACCTCTGAATCCGAAACCCTGTACGTACTATAAAACTGTATCCTCGAATTATGATGATCCTTCGATCATCCGCATAATGATCTGTCAACTTTGAACTACAAATCAGAGATATGCCACGTGTCCTACACAACGGAAGAAAAAAAAGTTGAAACTAATTCATTATTAGGTATCCGAATCATTTAATTTTACAATTCCACTGCAAACAGACTACATAATCAAAGCCATAGAACATTTTAGTATAAATGTTCACATAGTCTGAATGCTATACCCTATTCAGTGATTGTCACTTTTAAAAAACTTGTAAATTTGTTAAAATCCTACCAAAGAAAAGTAGAAGACACTAAAACGGTGGAAGCAAGTCGACGTAACGTGTACACCATCTAGCCTACGAGACTAGATAAGATGGTATACTCAATTTGAAACTGTTTAAACGACTACGCTTTATTCTACTCGTATTTTTGTTGCGCAGGGAAGTTGTTTTATTTTTTGCCCATTAGGACATGAAGGTTGAGAGGTATATGCAGACGTTTTAGATTTTTCATGATTATTTTATATAGGGTAATCTCCAAGGGTCTTGATCAACCGTGCTATAAAATTTCTTAAAACAGTTTTGTTGATTTCTTCTTAAATTTTTTTTTAAAACAATTTTACACACTTTACCCCTTATATGTTATAAAAATACAGCAATTCTTAGGTGGATGTTTTCGTGATCCTTGTGATAGTAAGGGCTTAATTTTACATTTAACATTTCAAATTAACATTTTCTTCTTCCCGATGCAATGTTTCATTTCTTTATGGGGAAGCAATATCCACAACTAGTCCTCAAATTGTAATCCATTTCACAATAATTGAGGTTTGGTTGTATTCCTTCATACTGGTATCTTAAACTTCTTTGTTTGTCGGTAAAGATACTTAAAATTTTCCTCAAATGACCATCTTTGCATAAGGTACACTTAACATCATTATAATCATGAAACATAATTAACATAATCTGCATAATTTGCAATAACAGTCGAGCTTTTTACCATTGAAGTCGCCTGATTTCGCCTGCTCGCACACCCCCTAAAGCCATCGGCATTGGCAATCCAACCACTCCGACGTATATTTTACTCTTTTTGCATCTTCTATTCTTGACTTTGTATTTTAAAAAAATAACATTTAAAATAAGAATTTTGGTAATACATTTATTTCGTATTATTAATTAATGTAATTATTATAAGATTATTATATTATGAGTACATTTGCGCACATTTTAGTGCAAGCGCCAAAAAGGCTGAGTTATTAATGCACAGTTGTAATAAGATACGTAAGCAATATATATGTATATATAGATTTTGTATATAAATTTTATAATAAATGTTATTTAAGTTTTTACTTATATGGATAATTCCAAAAACCAGTAGACGATCCAATTAATACAGAGTTTAATTTCTGTATTTTTTTCTTAATAGTAATACATATTTTTGTGCCCTTTTTACAAGTGCAGAATAAATTATTGAAAAGTCTATTACAGTTCTAATAAACATAACAGACATAATGTATATTAAAACATATTGATATCAACGATTCTATATTTCAAACAAAAAAGACAAATAAGTTTCAAATATTATAACTTTGTCTTAAATATAACTGAAGGTAGTCATTTTGAAACGATAATGTGTATTTAAAATAATATCACGTAAATTAATACAGATGTAACTTAAATTTATATCACAAATGAAGTAAATAAATAAATCAGGATAAGCTGATAAAATATTTTTTCTTTCTTATTCATTTTTCGCACTATTCTTATACATATGTTTATTCAACTAAATACTGAGATCTGTTACGAAATAAATAAAATATCTTAGTGAAGAATAATAAATTTACAATTTTGTACGAAAGTTTTAAATTTAAATATTACAAAAATGGCGTTAAACATTTTGTTTTTCTTATGTGAAGAGTAGTTTATTAATATAGATTTACATAATAAAAACAGCTTTAATTACAAAATAATGTCATTTGGTTAAGTGCATAATAAACACAATAGTAAAGTAACATAATAAAATGTTAAATGTATTATGTTCCGTTGTTGAAACAAAATAGAAATACTAGTTTATAATTTATTAAACTGCATAAAATATAATATTAATATCATTAGTTTTACTAAGCATTTGTTTTTATATATATCTCGCATATCTTTTAAAATATATTTTGAATTTCGAGAATATCAATACATATTTTTTCGGATAGGTTATTATTATGTTTTTCTTATATGTATTATTCTAAAAAGTGCATTTAATCAAATTATTACGTTTACAAAGGATAACCTAAAGCAGCTGACAATAAAGGCTCCCATGAACGATTAATATCAATATAGAGCATAGTACACTGCTCAGCAATCAAATCATCCTCATCCAGTACAGTAATAGGGAATAAATCATTCTGTCATGCATTATAAATGAATATAATGATGTGATTAATTTGATTTATTTTAAAATAATGCATACTTACATTTTTCGACTGCCATAATTGTTCCAAAAGTCTTAAAAATCTTTGCATTTCCGAGCTACTCGAAAAAAATATAACCAAATCATCTGTACATTCACGTACTTCTTGGCATGAAAATTCTAAAATACACCACCAAGTATCATTATGTGATGGTATTTTAATACCAGTCATATCCTTAATATCAGCGCAAGTTAGTATTTCCAACCCTGACTTAATACCATAAACACTATACATATTCGAATAGTTTGATAGATTGTTCGCCGCTTTTGTTGTTTGCTTCACAGATGTTGGTGTAGATGATAATGTGCTTCCACCTGCACCTAACGTAGATTTTGATATCTGAGATAACATTGTGGGTGTTGAGTTTGCTGATGACCAAGAACGTTGTGTACCTTTCACTGGAGTACTCAAAGCAGAATTCAACTAAGAATTATAAAAATAATGTACATTTTTATATGTCAAACAATAATCAAACAATAAATACGTATTCTATTTATACCGTAAATATTTTATAAAAGAAATTTAATAATTCAAAAAATTATAATATTTACCAAACTGCCCGTATCGTTATTAGTATAATGCAGCTCTGCCATATCTTTTCTTTCTTCATTTCTCAAATCTCGCGGATTATTATGCTGGTTTATTTGTAATGGTGCCGTAAAATCTTCTCTCAAAGTGATTAAATAATTTTCAGTTACCACCAAGCTGCACCCCAACGTTTTATGTTTTTTTTGCATTTCAAAAAGCTATCCAAACAAATATATTTAAAATTAATATTCTATTCTATATATTTTTATATGTTCTGTATCTTACCCCACTTGCTGATTGTAACAGCGCTTGTAACCATTCCGAAGCAACATACTCATCCGGAGCAGCTAATTGCAATAACTCTTTTTTCAACATAATTTCAAAGCAATGTGGTCTGCCCGTATTAATTGCACGTCTAGCACCTTGACATTCTGCTAATGCCATAGCCCAGCTAGGAAGTTTATTATTAGAATCGTTAAACATGTACAAAACACCCGCTCTAAAAATACATAATATTTATGATTAAATAGTTTTATGATTACACAAAATAATATAAGTACTTACTTTAGTAAAAAGTAACCAGGACTCCATCCTTGTTTAGTACCTGCATTATAAGATTTTACCCGTCTATGCATTAAAAATCCTTTGATATTCGGTCCCAAGGGTTCCTGCTCATTACCGATCGTACCAACTGGTATATTAACGACAGCATAATACATCCATATATCATTTTTGCCCACAGACGAATTCTCGCGAACAAATTTTCTTAATGGTGCTAAATGCTCAAGTGTCAATTGTCCAACAGCTGGCAAAATCGAACCGCTACGCCGAGTACACAATTCTAAATTTGCCACAAGTCCATAAGCTGGATAAGGACCACCGGCAAGTAAAACCTGTTGCATATCACGCATACTATTACTAAGCAGCACAGTATTTCCATAAGGACCCATCTAAAAATAAATTATTTATTTTTCTTTGCATTTTCCATCTTGATAATAAAATTTCTCATATTTACCAATATAACATCTAATTCAACATAAGGAAGCACAAATTTTGAACATAACCGATTCCTTACCAAATCTGTTACATACAACGCTGTATCAGTTAAAAATACAAGCACCGGAGTCATAAAACCTTCACGACTATATCCAGTATATAATTTAAATACCTGAAAACAAAATTGTCAATTGTCAATTGTCAATTAAAATCATATGCATTCCTTAATACATATTATAGTATATATTTAAAAATTTCATAAAATAAAATTACCTTCATTAATTGCTCTGTTTTATCACGCAAAATATGTAAATGATGTCCATTAAATATATCGACCGATATCTCACCAATACCCAATTCAAATCGTGCTACATTCCCCTTCAAATCTGATTCAATGTTTATTAATTCGCGGCGAGGTGAATTAACTCCAGACATTTCTATTTCCATTGCTATTTCTGCATTCAAATCGTCAATGAGATCATAATTCTTAGGTCGTACTCCTGGAACATATAAATCATTCGCAAATAGTTTCTGCTCATTCTTAAGTTTCCCAGCAAAAAAATCATTTTTTCGTATTGAAGTTTCAAGTATTTTCTTTTGCGTTACATTACGTAAAAATCGATTTATAAGAGATGTTTTTGCGGGCTGCTGTGGCGGTCTCAGTAAATTCGGGCAATCTGTAAAATTTTGTCGATCATTCGAATCTGGATAATCCACTATAACAATATCATTTTCATTTTTATCGGTATCAGTAGTGATTGTAAGTATATCATCGAATTCATCACTAAGAATTGTACTTTTAGAGTCGCGGCCATTACCGCCCCGTACTCCAGCATAATCATTAAATAGATCTGGACTTAGTAAACTGTTTTGTTCACTCATTGTATTGACACCACTAGTTCCGTATCGAGGTGGTTGTATCATTAAATTATTAATACTTGTGCGTTTCTTTAATGGTGATGGAAGATGACGCGACTGCTTTTCTAATGTGCTTCGAAAATCTTGACCTATAACCAAGCTGCATGTACTGCTGCATGTATTTACCGAATTCTTTAACTTTGGTTGCGATTGGGAGTTTGTAGAATTTATTGAATCAGATTTTACTGATGACGATAATGATATGGGTGCTAAATTACAAAATAAAAAATGTTAATAAGTTTTTTTTTTTTGTTGACTACTAATAAACAACTATCCTTAAATATTAGTTACTTACCTATGTCATTGTCAGGTGTATGAATTTCTTTATTTTCCTGTTGCTTAGAGCTCTTCTTTGAAGATTTTTGCAAAGGAGTGCTTGCGTTTGACTCTTTAAATCCACGAAAAAAATTAGAAAAAGTTTTTGCAATTGGAACCGATATAAATGCGTTACGCAATTGATTGTGTTCTGGTTGTGCTATTGGTGTATTTTTTTCTGCGAAATTTAAATATTTATTTTGACCATCTTCAATAAATGAATTCTTTTCATACGAAACCCCGGTGTGCTCGAAAACTGTGCTTTCACAATTTATAATAAATTTATTTCGAAATTGCTTAGTTTCTACTTGAACTTCTGTTGCACTTGCAGCTTCAATTGCAGTTGTTAAAACATCATCCTTATCAAACTCTTCTTGTCGCTGAATACTTCTTACCACAGATTCAGTTTCTTCTTCATTTTTTAGAACCAAAAGATCGACATTCATATTTTTGCGACGTAACTGTTCATCAACGTTATGTACAAACTTCTTAGTAGTTTGATTTTGTTTTGATCCATCTAGACTTTTACTAAGAAAAGGTTTTGCTTTTAATGGTGGTGATTCTGAAGGATATTTGCATAGTTCTTTCCTCATCAATTCAGCAGACGCTTGTTGTTCCATTTCAGGCAAGCATTCAACTACTGCTTGCAAATCTTCGGACCCTTCAGGAACACCTCTTTCCGGCAAAGGCATAGTAAATATGCTCTTAAGAGAACCGAATATCATTTTACTACTATTATCAAGTAGCATGTTCATGTCATGAACGTTGAATTTTTTAACTTTTGAATTAATATCTTGTTCATATATAAAATTTGTGTTCGTCTTTTTTAAACAGCTTGATTTCGGCTTCTTTTCCTTATTCCATACAGATTTTTTAGAACTCTCATTAATATTATCAATATTTGGTTCAGAAAAATAGCAATTATCACCTATAGTATGAAAAATTAAAAATTAAAAATATAAAATAATAATAATACATCAACATTTATTACTAACTCACCAATTAAATTATTGTTTGCATTACTTATACCAATGCAATCGCAAGAACTACTTTTAGCTTGTGCATACTCTTGCCGGTTTGAGTTTTTATCATTTTCTTCCGAATCAAGACTAGAATTAGAACTAGAACAAGAGCATCTGTATAAATGATGAGTCTCAGCACCAGAACCTTTAATGCTACTGCCATCTCTTTGTGGCTGATACTCAAAAACTCCGGAATTATCATATTGTAAGCAATGGCTTTCATTAGTATCATAAACATCTGAATTACCATAATCTAAAACATCTGAACAAGCATTACGATATACAACACGACGCCTGCGTCTACTATCGCAATCTTCTTCACCCTGCAACTGAGCACATAATTCAGTCGGAACCTCACTTCTGCCATCTCCCTCTGAGCACCAAGAATAACGTCCTGCTACACCAGTTTTTGGTAGTAACTTCCGCCCATTTTTATATGTTATAAATCCATGTTCAATGTGAATATTATCAGTGCGCGTATTTTTTAGTATATCCTCATGAAAAGAAACACGTTTCTTGGGCACTTTTGGACCTGATTGAGTCTTGCGAACTTTACGTCTATAAACAATATTTTCTGTTGTATCAAAAGTTGAGCATGTACTTGTTGTCATAGCTTCCTCTATATTTGATGTACATTTAGTTACATTTGAATTCGTATCTACAGTCTCTATTGCAGCTACTTGTATCAATCCATTCAGTTCATTTGAAGAAGCCATTGCAGAATATGATGTCAATTCCTTAACAGGATTTTGTGCCTTAATATCATCAAAATCAAAGCCAGTTTGTGATGTTATTGATTCAATCATAAATTCACTTGACTCAGAATCAAGCATTTGCACACCTGAATCACTTGGAGTTGTATCTTCCAATGTACTATTTACGCTGGATATCATGTTTTGTCCGTTATCTTGTTTACTTGATCGATTATCTAAAATATTTTCATTTAAACTGGCAACCAATGGTGACTCCATTATTACATCATAACTAGAAGATGATCTCTCTGTGTGTGATTTGAAATGTTTAATTTATACAAAAATTCAAAAAAAATTACATTTCATTGAAGAGTGTGTCTTTTGATTTGCCAATTAGAACTGGATAAAATTACAATCTTAAACAAAAGAACGTATTAGAAATCAATTATAATTTATTTTTAAGGAATATTAAATAAAGGTCAAAGAATCTTACATTTTGATTTATCATAAATTTCATTACCCAATTAATATCAATTGTTCTGATTTCAATAAAATTAAACGCAAAATATTACATTGCATTCTATTGTACATAAATTGAAACTATAAAATATATCAAAACACTACGTTACAGCACTTATAAAAATATAATCAAGTTGGTAAATAAAATTTGTATTCCGTAAAGATAAGGAAAATCAATATCGAAACTTTAAAACAATAACATAAAGAAATCCCTATTGTTAGCATCGATTTTTGACAATTTTTCAAAAACTCCTACCTTCTGGAATTTGTCGTAGAAAATCCATTTATTTTTTTTTCTTTTGTTTTTTTGTTTTGAATTGATATATAATTAACTTATTTAATCACTATATAAACATATAACTTGTTAATTAACAACTCAGCTATTCTTAGTAAAATACTGCATATTCTTAATCACACTCATACGATTTGTGGAATGAGAAAATTGCAGTACAAGTGACTGCTTCAATAAAATTGAACATTTTGCTGAGTTTAATTTAAAATCCTGCAGATGGCAGTAACTTGTAATTTAAAATCATATGTTTATACCCGCTTTAAACCAGGCATGTTATTATAAATAAATTCAACAGTTTCGAAAATTTTTACAAAATATTTTTATATAAAATAAAACTTTTCAATAAATTCATTTAATTTATAATATGAAAAATCCACTCTGAAGTTTCAATATTCTTCACAAAAATGAAATGAATAATTGAATTCAATTATCAAAATCAATTACATATATATTATTTAATACGAAATTAATTTTATTTCATTTTTTAATTGTATTAAAAATTATATTGATATCATATTACATATCTAAATTCTATTTAATTTCAGGCTTGACATACGTTCACAATAACTCATTGTGCAAATTATTATGTTGTTATTCTAGTGCTTTGTTAATAAATTAGCGACAGTGAAAGTCTTAACATTACCAACGCCCTGGACGTGATATACTAATGGACTATCTAAATTCATAAGAAAAACATTGCGGCTGTCACTCTGCCGATTGAGCAGTGAAAAATGTATAGTTATTGTGCACTGCTTAATCTGATCAAATGATCAAATATATTTCATAACTTTTCTCACTTTTTACGTATACTAAAAAAAGAAAATAAATAAACTATATTGGAAGTAAAAAACTACTTTTTTGACTTGTATCTGGCGAAAATGTGTTTTTGTTGCCCTAATCCGTCGCCACACCGCGTTTATCCCTACCGCCATTACTCATTATCGATACATAACAAATATAATCAAACTGTTACGGTTAGATGATGCTTTCTATTAATATGTTAATATGTATGGTTTGTATGATTTTGGATATTTCTTCACTACGTTTTTCATCTTACCAGTAATGCAAAGGATAGAAAAAACTTCGCGATTAAAATAAAAAACAGAAGTATGAAAAGATCGGTCATACCCTAAGTAAGACTTATAACAATATTGCTGACTTAGAACCTTCAAGTTGCAAAACTTTAAATAATGTGTAGGTGACTGATACCATGTAACAAAATTTATCAAATTACATTTCTTAAGCAGAATCCCTAAGATCATAAAAAGAAATATTGAAATAATAATTAAAAGTTTGAGAAAGATTTATACAATATTATAATGTAATTAACATAATAATATATTATTATGTTATCAAAAATATCTCAAAAGTATTTATTTCAAATAACATTAGTGTTATATCAATTGTAAGTTAACATATCCATTATAAATTTATTTTCAATATTGATAAAAATGATAAATTATTGTATAACGAAATGGCAAATTGTATACTTGTCTCAAACAAATGGACAAATGACCAAATGGACAAATGTCAATTTCAAATGCAATGCGTATATAATGAGTATAAAATGCAATTGAAGAAACCTTAGTAATTTAATAATAACACCTTGAAAAGTAACACTATTTTTAATATAAGTTTTTATTTGACGAAAACATGCAGAAAATTGCATTATATTTGAAAATATTTTTAATAGTTTAATAACCGAATATCTAAAATGTGCATAAATTTATTTGTCTATGAGAATTTATTTGTTGCACAAAAACCGTTAAAAGCTTATTTTAAATGTATGCATTTCAATTTTAACAAAAGTAAAACTTTATTTTCTAAGTATTGCATTAATAAAAACATAACGTGTTTGATTGATTGATTGATTGATTGATTGAAAAAATATAAATAAATGTAAATATTTATGGGAATGCATACCTTAATAATATGAAAGTTCAAGTGTTCAATATGCAAATAATTTTTAAGCAATTATGCCAGCAAAAATCTTTATTCGTTATCATGATTTACTTTTATTTATTAGAAAAATCAATATTGCTCTGTAATTGTGTTCATGGATTCAGGTATGCTTTCATTTTATTATATTTCTTTTTTAAATATAATTATTTAGTGACAACATAAATTTACAAAATATTTTATTTTTATAAAATATCATCATGAACTATTTAAATACATATATAGAAAGCAATTTCCCAATTATATGTCGTATAAAAGGATTTTGCGCAAATTCTATTTTCGCCTATTAACATTTAAATGTTAATATCTTTCCTGTAGTTGCTCTCATAAAAAGAATTTTATAAATTTATAACTAACATATCTTACGTTCGTAAAACAAAAATTATTTTATTTAAACTATAAAATTTTTTAAATGTTATGAAATTAGCTACGATATGTGTTAAAAAAATAATATTATCTCTTGCATTAAAATAGCTACTACATATCTTTTATAAAATAAAAAATAAATAATAAGTAACTTTTTAAATATTTTGTATTTCTTTTATGCTATATAAGAAACAATACCGAAAGCGCCGAACTTGTTTCACACTATGAATCAAGTTTATCATTGCCAGACATTCTGCCAATACCATCAAAAACTTATGACAAGAATCGTGCACCCAAATTATTGGGCCAACCTACTGTTGTATATTTTCATGTAACAGTTTTATCTTTGGATTCAATTAATGAAGAATCTATGGTAAATTCAAATAAGTTTCAATTTGTTTATTCAATTTATTTGTTGTTTGTTATAGACATACGTCACTGATATATTTTTAGCACAAAGTTGGCGAGATCCACGACTTCGACTTCCTGAGAATATGAGTGAAGAATATCGTATTTTGGATGTCGATTGGCTTCATAGCATTTGGCGTCCTGATTGTTTTTTTAAAAATGCTAAGAAAGTTACCTTTCACGAGATGACAATACCAAATCATTATTTATGGCTATATCATGATAAAACATTATTATATATGTCTAAGTAAGTATATAGCATATATATGTATATGAAATAAGTTGGAAAACAATGTTAATGCTATCTTACCAGTGTTTCAAGTAATTCAATTTTTTATTATGTGTTTAATAAAATCAAATATTGTCTGCATATTACTATTATGACATATGCCAGAACTTAACCAAGTTATTCATCTTTTATTTTCATTTTTTTTTTCAAAATTCATTTAAATTCCAAATATATTTCTCAAAATCTATCTGCATATTACTATTATGACATATATATGTTTTGTTACCCTATGCCAGAACTTAACCAAGTTATGCATCTTTTATTTTCATTTTCTTTCAAATTCATTTAAATTCCAAATATATTTCTCAAAATCTTTGATGGTGTATGCAAACGGTTTCCTACTTAAATGGCATAAATGCGCAAATACAATTCCGCGGTTCAAGGAACGAAAAAAATCGTTTCTAAGATTGGTGCATTTTCAGTATTTGCCTGACTATAGAGTGTCAAAGAAAGGTATGCCTGAAAAAAAACATGCAGTCATATAATTCACTGTATGCCACGAAATAATATAATCCAATAAACACCGTTCTTATTATTATTTACAGTTATACATTAAGACCGAAAAGTTTTCGGAAATTCTCATTTAAAATTCGCGCGCTGTATATTTTTCGATATTTTAAGTTTATGTAGTTTGGCAGCACTGTCCTTAATTACTATGCCAAAAATGAGCGCGATCTGTCAGACAGTTCGTTTACGGCAGCTGTTGAAACCAGTTCACCTCAGTAGGGCGTTGCGAAAAAAACAATGGAAAAAAATATTGAACAAAGAGTTTGCATCAAATTTTGTGTTTCGAACGAAATTTCGTGTGCAGAATCGTTGCGAATGCTACAAAAGGCTTATGGGGAATCAGTTTTATCGAAAACTCAAGTTTATGAGTGGTACAAAGCCTTCCAGGACGGTCGTACGACCGTCGAAGACATTTCGCAACGCACTACTGAGGTGAACTGGTTTCAACAGCTGCCGTAAACGAACTGTCTGACAGATCGAGCTCATTTTTGGCATAGTAATTAAGGACAGTGCTGCCAAACTACATAAACTTAAAATATCGAAAAATATACAGCGCGCGAATTTTAAATGAGAATTTCCGAAAACTTT